ATAATCTCTTAATTATATTCAAATACACCACTTAGTTGGTATTCTGGACATGATACTAATTAAGTGGCAATCTTATCTGCAATTTCAGATTTTTAACCTATAATTCCATTTGCATCATAATTAGAAATTATTGTAAAAAATGAAACAGTTATGGTCTTTTATAATAGAATACAAATTTAAACGAAATTCTGTTCTGATGGATATTTTTGTAGTAGAGATTAAGCAGTTAATTATTTAATGTAATTCATACATCCAAATCTTAATTAGCTTTGTGGTTTAGAATTAATTTATTGACTTTAATATATTTATCTAATAACTATAAATATTTTATTTAATAAAATCAAATTCTTAATATACTACAATTTGTATAAAGATTATTCAATAATCAATAAAAATTGATTCATTATCTATAATTAATTTAGAATGAGAAATTTAAATACTTGAATAATTCATCAAGATCTGTATTAAAATATCATTCTATACTTTATAAAAATTTATAATAAATAATGATACAAATATTACTTTGAATATTCACAATTTTAAAGTTATTAGTTTGATCAAGCTTTACATCTTTTATTCTGACTTAAACTTTTATGCAAACAATTAAGAATTCAAGATTTTAAAATTTTATCTCAATAATTTAATTTATATTAGAGTATATTAAAGTATAATATAAATTTAATATATATAATATTAACTCATTTAGCCTTTGCTTAATGTTCTTTTTTTTGTTGTTCAACTTTTTCTCTAACTTAATTTAGAAACTTTTCGCCTTTCTTTTTATCAGCAAGATTGTTTGGCACATTTAATCTAATTAATACGACTATTTACTTCTATTTAATTGAATCTAAAATAATTTTCTTTGGAACTTTTATCGATTCTACATCCATAGATTTTATACTATGAAATTGGTTTAGAGTAATTCGAGTAGGAATATATATTGTTGAGCATTTCATTCTCTAATTTAAAATCATAACTGCTTTACTGGTTGGATCTGGAAGTATTTATAGTAAAGATTACCATGATTATAACTAATTTAAACTTACTTAAACAACAGAAAGATTTCTATTGTGTATAGAATCATTTATTATATGAATTATAAAAGTCAAGTGTAAATAAAATGATTCTACTCCATTTGAACATATTATGCCATTTCTACTATATTTTGAGTGAAAATTATATAGAGAAGTAATAAATCCCAATTTGAAAATTAAGTGCATTATTATATGTTATGGAGCTCTAGTCATTATTAAGATAAATAAATTGATAAACTATTACTATTGAATATTCTATTGAATATAATCGAAATACCAAATCACTAAAATATGCAATACAGTCTCATTTAAATATAAATAAGGATTTTTCTATTAAATTTAAGATTTATTCTGTTCAAACATATAAAATCCATATAAAATTGTATCACTTATAATAAATTATTTGAAATTTAATTATTAATGACCCATTTTATTTTATTGTTTATTTAGTTTTACAACAGATTTGCATAAAAAGTCAACAACACTAATAAAACATATTTTTAAACTTTCTACAATCAAATTAGATTATTTTAGTCTTGGATAATTGGAATAGATTTCATTAATAATCATTCCACATTCATCTGCACTAGATAATACTCCATCATTTGAACAATGGAGATGAGATAGATAAATTTGAAATAATCTTTCTAAATTATTTTTTGTAATGATTGAACAAAATATTAAATCTGTATTTAATTTATACTATTATTTACACAATCCTAATGTATTAATTTTTTTCCAGCTATAATGAAATGCTGATTGAATCAATCCCTTAATTAATTATGCACAAGATGATGCTGTTGATTCATTTTTATGAATTTATTATAAATCTTTCTCAAATTTAGTTTCTTATTACATTTTAAAACTGGGATAAATTGTTTTTAAACGGCTACTAGAAAATCCATCATTTGAACTAAAATCCGATTTATCAGATCCAAAAGTTCTTAATCTTGTTGATGTATTCATAAGTAATTGCTGTTTTTGAAGAGTTCCTTATCTGAGATAATTTTTTTATTAATTAACATTAATCCATTTATTCTATTTTGATGCTGAACTCAATCGAGGTAATACTTTATTATTTTTATTAAGTGTAGATTTTGTTTCGAATTTTTCAATATCTAGAGCACTTAATTTTTTACCACCTAATCCTTTATTTTATGGACTCACTGAATTATGTTGAGTTAAAACTATAGTTTTTTATCTTTTTAATTTTAAATCTTCAGAATTATATTAAAATTTAGAATGATTTTAATTTCTTTATTTAACAAATTCATATAAATTATCTAAATCTTTAAACTTAAATTCTTAACTTGAAATATTTTCTTAAATATCATCATACAAATGCCAATTATTTTTAGTCATTCCATAAAAATCATTTGGTGATTTTCCTGGTGTAATTTAACCTAAAAGTTCGGTTAAGTATTTTTTCTCATTTAAATTTTATTCCGAAATAATAGGTAATTTATCGAAATTAGTTTATGCTTTCAATAAAGGAATAACATAATACTAAAATAATATAATGTTATATACTGCTTATTCAGATTTATAAGATCTTTCTTATTTAGATCTATCTACTTTTTAATTTATCATTATCAGAGTAAGAAAATCAAATAATTATGAAGATTGAATATATAGCCAAAGTTATTCTTAAACATGCATTCCTAATTAATATTCATCTTCAATCATGTTCATCATTTCTCTTAAATATAAAATAATTACTTTCACAAATACTTAATATAATAGGATTATAAATGTATTAAGAAAAAGCAAAGAGCAAATTTAAATCTACTACATAATAGAGACACGATTTAGGACTTTACAAAAATAAATAATCAATTAAATGTCCTAAATGTTAAAGATTCACTATTCTCTCTTAATCTCCTAAGGATTCATAAATCATGTAAACTAATTAGAAATAAGATTTACATATTTTCATCAATAATTAAGGTACTTATTTAGTGATAATAGCGAAATTCTTATCATTAGTAATAATCTTTAGAACTTTTTTTGATCTTTAATTGTAAACTTATTCTAATTTTTATGTTTCAGATTTCCAAATTCTATAATCATCTAATTCCTGATTATCCATTTTAAGAGTTGAAAACTATATAGTTTAAATAATCATATTACCCATTAGGGTATAGGTTATGAATTCAGAGGGTCGAATATTAATTTCATGATGAATTCAAAATAAACATCATTTCTAAAGTACTCTATTTATTGTTTGATGTAACCTTCTTCATCTTAACATATCCAATCTTCAATAACTTCATGCATATCTATTTCTGATTATTCAGTCTCTGAATCTATATTACTTAATGGTGTTTCTATTTTTGTTACTGTTGGAGGATGCTATATCGTATAAAAGTCTAAATTCTTTTCATATCTAAATTACACTATTCAATTTAATCTTCTAAGCCTATTGACCATAAAGAATTTCTGAATATATTTTGTTTTATGTTTTAAAAGACATCAATTATTTCTGTTATAAAACTCTCTTCTCTTGTGTTCTTTAAGAATTTCAAAAATATATTTGCTTGTTCTTCTAAATTAATTTCCAAATCAGATCCAAGTTAAAAAAGCTAAAATAAATATTGAGATGCAAATTTCTTAACATACACAAGACTCTCTAATAATTATTTTGAATATTAAACAGTTGAATTTGCTGCTCTCCTACAATATTTAATTAAATATAATACCTAAATAATGATTTTCTTGAAGATTATTTTATACTTCTAACATTGCTAAGGACTACTTTTTGTTCTGGGAACTCTGAAATTTCATTCATAGCTTTGTAAAATGAATTAAAAAAGTCTAAATCCTTAAAACGGTCAAAAAGAGCAGAAACAAGCAGTTCAACATTATTCTTTGAAAAAGGATAACAGCAAATTACTTAAAATCACCCCAAAATTATTACACTATTTTATGGTTTATGGATCATTAAAAGATGTCATAAATGGCATTTGGGATGATATATATTTACACCCTATTCTTATTTTTTCTAATCTTGTGTACTCATTCTCATCACATAACTTATATCTTAATATATTTATACAGCTTATTCTAAAATCATTATATAATATATATATATATTAATAAAATTGAAAATGAAAATCATAAGCTTTTGTATTTAATTATCTTATATATTTAATGGATGATCATCTTTATTCTTATTAATTGAAATAATATTCGTAAGATCTGGTTCTGGTTGTGTAAATTTATACAATTTTATTTCTCTTATATTATAATAATTAGAAGAATATAAGTTCTGACGTAATACACTGCTTAGATTATGCAACTTTCCAATAATTGTAAAATGTATGATTTAGTTGTAGACATCAATATTTAAAATTTTATTAGAGTGTATGTGTTGTATTTAGTGTTTCAACAAATTTTTGTCTTAAATCTCGTCATGGAGTAATTCGATAGCGTCATAAATATTTATTTAAAACACTTAAATGCTAACTCTCCCCTCTCAAAATTCAATTTATAGCTTAACACCTTAAAATATACATGAATAGGATGTATTTCATGAGAAGTGGTTATTTGGTTTTGAAGAATAGAATCCCTTTCTTCCAACATTTGAATATCTCAATACGGTTTTTCCTTAAAAGAAAATAAAAAAAGAAGAAGAAATAATATGTTAGAACAAGGAGCTTTTCAATGTCAACTAATCTAAAAGCATTTATCTTAGCAAAATAACTCAATTAATTGATACTGAAATCACTCCAAAGCAGTAATGACTTTAATTTATATTGCTAGTACAAAGAGAAATGGAGAGAAATGGAAAAGAAAAATGAAGTAAACAGGAGATTCTTCTGAAGAGCCTTATGGGGCAAATACACATTAATTAAAATTGGCTCGAAATAGACAATCTGCAAGAGATTCAAGAAAAAGAAAGAAGATATATATTGAACTTCTTGAAAATAAGGTTGAAGAATTGACATAGGAGATGTTAAGACTTTAAGCAACAATAGCAAACTAAAACAATTACATTAACTACTGTGCTAAAATTCCATCAATGGTATTTTTAAAATATAATCACATTTTTTAGATTAAAGAGTTCCATATGAACTATTAAAATTAGTTATTAAATCTAAAACATTCTCCTTGTTAAGCTCAACTTAAAGTATTAGATTAAGAATTTGGAGTTCAGTCAATAAGAAGGATAGAATTGTGTAATTCTTTCTTCAACACTTTGATGGACCATGCTATACCAAATGATTTAAAAAAAATCATGGAATCTGCAATGAAGGGTATAATTATAAGTCTAACAAAAATAGGATCAGACTTTTTTAATGAGTAGGACCCTAGTTAGAAATCTAATCCAAAAAACACACTTAAAGAAACTTAAAAAAAATTTATTGATGAAACTAAGCGTTTAGAATTGTATTATCATAATCCAAATATTTAGTTATATGTTTGATATGGCTAAAAACTTTGAAAAAGTTAGATAATAAAGTTTTACATTAGAACAATTAAAATAGGAAGCCTTAAAGGATATATCCCCAAGGACATTTGCTTAATATTTAGTGAATATGAACTAAGAAATATAAGCTAATGTAATTAAAGAAGAAGATGCAGATTTATCATCACTATAGTCACCTTGATTCTATATTATTATTTATTAATATATATTAAATTTTCAATGGGAAATTGTAATAACAGCAAAGATGTAAATTTTGATGATGTTTCATGTAATTAAATCTAACATTATATTTAATAGTTTGTAAAAGTGATTTTAAAATGCTTTTTGTTATTGGAAGAGGTGGATTTGGGAAAGTTTGGAAAGCTGAGAACAAAAAGACAAAATAATAATATGCAATAAAAGAAATGAGTAAATGCAAGTAACTATTATTTAATCATTTAGAATTATAAATAAAAAGAGTATCAGTTCTGTAATGAATGAAAAATATTTATTAAGTAATTTAAGACATTCGTAATTAATATAATATAATTAGATTTTTAGTTAACATGCATGCATCATTTTAGGATAGAGAAAATTTATATTTAGTTATGGATTTGATGTAAGGAGGAGATTTAAGATACCATTTATGTAATTAGAAACGATTTACTGAAAAACAAACAAGTATTTCTTAATTATTAAATTATTTTAAGAGTTCTTTATAGTTTGTATCTTAATAGCATTAGATTATTTGCATACAAATACAATTTTACATAGAGATATTAAACCAGAGAATTTAGTTTTTGATAGAAATGGTTATAAATCTAAATTTAAATTAGGTTATTTAAATTTAACAGATCTAGGTGTAGCCAGAATCTGGAAACCTGATAATGAAAATGATACAAGCGGAACTCCAGGTTATATGGCTCCAGAAGTCATGTGTAGATAAATTCATGGAGTAGCATCAGANATTCTTTCTTCAACACTTTGATGGACCATGCTATACCAAATGATTTAAAAAAAATCATGGAATCTGCAATGAAGGGTATAATTATAAGTCTAACAAAAATAGGATCAGACTTTTTTAATGAGTAGGACCCTAGTTAGAAATCTAATCCAAAAAACACACTTAAAGAAACTTAAAAAAAATTTATTGATGAAACTAAGCGTTTAGAATTGTATTATCATAATCCAAATATTTAGTTATATGTTTGATATGGCTAAAAACTTTGAAAAAGTTAGATAATAAAGTTTTACATTAGAACAATTAAAATAGGAAGCCTTAAAGGATATATCCCCAAGGACATTTGCTTAATATTTAGTGAATATGAACTAAGAAATATAAGCTAATGTAATTAAAGAAGAAGATGCAGATTTATCATCACTATAGTCACCTTGATTCTATATTATTATTTATTAATATATATTAAATTTTCAATGGGAAATTGTAATAACAGCAAAGATGTAAATTTTGATGATGTTTCATGTAATTAAATCTAACATTATATTTAATAGTTTGTAAAAGTGATTTTAAAATGCTTTTTGTTATTGGAAGAGGTGGATTTGGGAAAGTTTGGAAAGCTGAGAACAAAAAGACAAAATAATAATATGCAATAAAAGAAATGAGTAAATGCAAGTAACTATTATTTAATCATTTAGAATTATAAATAAAAAGAGTATCAGTTCTGTAATGAATGAAAAATATTTATTAAGTAATTTAAGACATTCGTAATTAATATAATATAATTAGATTTTTAGTTAACATGCATGCATCATTTTAGGATAGAGAAAATTTATATTTAGTTATGGATTTGATGTAAGGAGGAGATTTAAGATACCATTTATGTAATTAGAAACGATTTACTGAAAAACAAACAAGTATTTCTTAATTATTAAATTATTTTAAGAGTTCTTTATAGTTTGTATCTTAATAGCATTAGATTATTTGCATACAAATACAATTTTACATAGAGATATTAAACCAGAGAATTTAGTTTTTGATAGAAATGGTTATAAATCTAAATTTAAATTAGGTTATTTAAATTTAACAGATCTAGGTGTAGCCAGAATCTGGAAACCTGATAATGAAAATGATACAAGCGGAACTCCAGGTTATATGGCTCCAGAAGTCATGTGTAGATAAATTCATGGAGTAGCATCAGATTATTTTGCAGTTGGAGTAATTGCTTATGAATGTATGATAGGAAAAGTAACTGTTTTTAATTCTATGTAGAGACCATATATTGGCAAAACTAGAAAAGAAATTAGAGATTCAATTTTAGCTAAATAAGTTTTAGTTAAATCAGATTAAATTCCAATTGGATGGTCAGAAGAATCTGCTGATTTTATTAATAGAACTTTGCAAAGAAAACCAAGCAATCGATTAGGATCTAATGGTCCTGAAGAAGTTCAATCTCATCCTTGGTTTATAGATATTGATTGGAATGCCATCTTAAATAAAACTGCTATATCTCCTTATCAAATTAATGTAAAAATTAGTATAAACTATTCTTAGTGTAATCAAGATAATTTTGATGCTAAATTTGCTAATATGAAAGATGAAGAAAATGGTGAAACATTTCAATAAAATGGAATTATGTTGAGAAGACAATCTATTTAAGAACTTTTTTATGGATATACTTTTGATTAGTCTATTAATTAAGTTCCATCCTAAAATAATTCTGTTATTAAACCTACCATTCCTCATTTAAATACATAATAAATAACTTCTGCTAAAAAAACTAATATTGATGATACTAATCCATAATTATCATAAATATCAACAAAAAAATATCATTTGGTTTCCTCTACTCCAAGATTATAAACCAAATTAATGACGTCTAGTTAAAGGCCTTTAACAGATAGAAGTCAATTTTCCAATATATTTTAATTTAATTGAACATTTAATTTATATTGTTTATAATGATTCAAATTTTTAAAATTTACATATTTTTATTTAGGATAAATGCTTTGCCTATTTGCAAGACGATCTCTTATATTGAATAATAATTATCATATTTTATTATTCAATATTATTAGAAATTTAGGAAAAAATTGAATAACCTTGTAATATAATTATTTTTAATTAAAAAATAGTAAAATTTATAGAAAATCATTTATAAAAATTTACGACAAAATTGTTGAAATGCAAATTAGACTTGGGTTATAGATGAGAACTTAGGAAGATTAAGAAAATTGTTATTTTTTATGAAATCTAAGTTAAGGAGACATCAAAAAATAAAATTTAATTAAATTTATAAACTTTATTTATTAAAAAGACTAGATTATCAATCAATTTAAATGTTAACATTCTATTTGAATTTCTTGATTTTGATAAATACTAATTTTGTTAAAAAATTATATATATTCAGATTATCGTCAAGGAATAATAATAATAGTTCGGTATTGCAGTATTAATTTGGTAATAAAATTATATTAACGATTGTAATTTATATGCTATGCTAAAATAACTTAAAAAACTATCAAAAATTTTTTTGCTGTTTCAATATATATTTTTTATTTTCTAATATTCATAAAATTAAACAAGTTCTAAACAAGCTTATTTTTTATGATAATGAAAACTTTTGATTTATATTTTTAATGAAAAAAACTACTAGTTCATTAGCTGATAAATCAAAAGTGTCATTTTTTAATGACGGAAATAAATTATTTACTACTGTAAGAAACAATAATCTTCAGTTTCTAGACTAAGGAATTTTTTAAATGGTATATCAAAAAAAGGAAAGTATGGTAACAATTTAAATGGCAGATACCATTCTTAAAATCAGTGATGAAGCATATGTATAGTTAAAATCTGAAATAGGATAAATATATCGATATTGAAAATTGTTGTTTAAGAGGTGTAATGAACTAAAAAAATAAATAATTTGGTTTTAGACTCAGCAAAAATGGATAATATGCAGATTTTTTTGGGATTTATCTCGATTTTTTGAATAAACTTAAGATATATATGATTCAATCTGATTTTTAATCAAAGTATAAAATATTGACGAAGTTAGGAAATGGAAATTTATCTTCTGTAAAATGTTTAATAAAATTAGGTTTATAAAGTACAACATAGTATTAGTGGATAGGAATATGCTGTTAAGATTTATGATAAATAAACCCTAAATAAAAGTACTAATTATGAGAAGGAGTTATTTATGAATGAAATTAATATTTTGAGGTAGTTAAATGATAAGGGTTTATTAAAATTGTATGAAATTTTTGAAGGAGAATAAAATATATATTTAGTTACAGAATTGTTAGAAGGAGGACCAATAAAAAAATAAATACCTAATTCGAATTTTATAGATTAGGAGAAGATAAATATGATGTAATCACTTTTTAATTCTTTAAACTATTTACATAAATTAGATATTTATCATACAAATATCTAATGTGATAATATTTTACTTAAAGATCCTATGGATTTAAAATCTGCTTGCATAATTAATTTTGGTAAAGCTGTTTAAATTCCTTAAAGAAGAAGGAGTTAAAATTTTATGACCTCTTAAGAATAAGAAGGAGTTCTAAAATTTTATAAGAAAAAGGATATATATTCTTTAAGTATAATAAATTTAAGTATGTTCACAAAAAAGTTATACCAAGAAAATTAATTAGTTAATGAATTACTAATGAAAAACTTTGAAAATATTTCTAATATTGAATATATGGAATTGTCAGCTCCATTGCAGCGATTTTTTGAGATGATATTTTCTGAAAAATATTAAAAAGAAATTGATACATTAAGTTGCGAAAATATATTAGAATTTGAAGTTTTTCGTGTGCCTTATAAGCCTCGAAAATCTAAATTGTTAACATCTTAATAAGTAGCATTTAGTTTGGCAAGAAGAACAAGCAATTATGAGCCAAGATTATCATAAAGAGAGAAATTAGAATAGTCATTAAATATGTTGAAACTTCCTCCAATTCATGGAGATTCTCCAACATCTACAGATAAAACACATTCTGTTAGTCCTTAATCAGATCGTCTCATCTCTAATTAATTAGGTAATATTTTAAAGACAAGTCATTTTAATTAAAGAAAAAATGCTTTAAAATTAAATATTATAATATGATTTTGAGTCTATATTTTATATAATTTGAACTGCTTCTTTTATAAATAATAGAATATATTTTATAAGATAATAATAAAAGTTTGAGACTTAACATTATGTTAAATTTTGAATAACGAAGTATAATTTACAATTTTTTAATAACTTTTATAAAATAAAATAATTATTTAATGGGAATTTGTTGTTCATAATAGCCAGGAACAGTGATATAGAATGTTGAATTTTAATAATTTGAGCCTGAAAAAGTACCTGCATTGGTTTCATAATAAATAAACTTTGAAGAGCATGAGGAAGAAATTATAACAATCTAAAAATCAATTAGAAAGAAAAAAGCTAAAAAAGTAGCTGCATAGATGAAAGAGGAGGCTGAAAGAGAAAAACCAGGTGATGCATGGATATAAAGTAAGGAGCCAAAGTCTATGGAATAGAATGTTTAGATAACATATAATAAGTTGGGTAAATTTAAGTTTGAGAAGAAATAGCCTTAAGAATTTAATTAGTGTAGATTTTTTGTAGCACATGTAAATAATAATTTAATTTTGATAGGAACATAGAAGAAACTAAGGAAATATTTATGTTGGTTAGTGGTTATAAAGATTAAGACATGGAAGAGGGAAATAATATTTTGCAGATGGTGCAATTTATGAAGGATATTGGAAATTTGATTAAGCAAATGGAAGAGGAAGGATGATTCATTCAAATGGTGATGCATATGAAGGTGAATGGAAAAATAATTCTGCAAATGGTTTTGGGACATTTTATGAGTTTGATGGTTCATAATATGAAGGAGAATGGTTGCAAGATTAAAAGGTTATAATAAATATTAAGAGTAGCATGGCTATGGAAAAGAAGTTTTGAATGATGGAAGTGAATTTTAAGGAATATTTAAGGAAGGAAAGAAATGGGGAAGAGGATTTGCAAAATTCTCAAATGGAGATATTTATAATGGATAATTTGAGAATGATTAAATAACAGGTTTTGGTGAATTAGTATTTACTGATGGAAGAAGATATATAGGACATTTTAAAGATGGAAAAATGCATGGTAAAGGACATTTTATATGGCCTGAGGGAAGAGAATATGAAGGTTAATATTATAATGATTTAAAACATGGAGAAGGAGAATTTAGATGGGCAGATGGATCTAAATATATTGGATAATTTAAAGAAGGTAAATAACATAAAGGTGTTTTTATTGATAAAAATGGATAATAATGTGGAAGTTAATGGAGTGAAGGTAAAGAAAAGAGATTAAAAAGTGAATAGTGATTTAGATTAGATTTTATGATATTATTCTTCAGTAACTTATATTATTGTATTATTTATTAAATCTAGAATTAAAAATTAGAGGTAGAGTTTATTTAATGATTTCAAACATAATTTTGACAAATCATTTTTATTTAAATTCTTATTTCTTTATTTTGCTTGGACTTTCATAAATAGTTGATTAAACAAGAGAATTAGTTTTTGTTGGGGAATATCTTTTTATTGTGCTAACATATATTATTAATCTTTACTTAAATGCATTAATAGAATCTATTAATGAAAATGGATATTTTTATAAAGCTCTTTCATATTAAGGTACATGAGATATGTATGTTGAATAATATGGAGAATATGCTAAAGTATTGCTAGTTTATAATTAGTCAATCTCTCTTTATCTAATCGCTTCTAATTATCTTAATCTTTCTAAACTGTTGTTTCTTTCTAAGTTTCTTAAATTAACTTAACTCTCTACTATGTCTCTTTCTAATTCTGCTTATCTAATTCTTTATTCTCTTTCTAATGCTATTAATCTATTTTCTCTTTCAATTTCTCTAGCTCTCTCTTCTATTTCAAGTTTTCTTAATATTGCTTCATTTTCAACTAATCTTATTCTTTCTCTACTTCTTCTTAAATCTTCATCTCTCAATCTATCTAATTCTCTAAGTCTATTTTATTCTTCTATTTGTGCTTATCTTAATAAACTTTCTTCCTATATTTATCTAACTCTCTCTGCACTTCTTTATCTCTCTTAACTCAATCTTTTTTAGTTTTCTAATTAAATTATTCTAGTTTCACTCTAAATTTATTAGAGTTTTGATTTTCTTAATCTCTCAAGTGAGTCTTCTCTTTGTCTAACATTTTCTAATCTTAAATTTGGATAATAGTAAGGATAATAATATGGATAATAAGGATAAAAATAATAAGGATATTAAGACAATTATAGTCTTTCTAAAGATCTATTGTTTTCAACAGCTTTTGCAAATTCATTATCTCTTATAACATTTGTTCTATAAGGTAATGGCTCCATTAAATGTACTGCTTCTACCAACTCACTATATGATATTTTCCCATCTTAATCTAGATCTACTGCATCAAAAAATGATATCACCTCATCATTTAATAAAGGAGCACTTTATCTTTACATAAATAATGATAGTGTCTCCTTTGTTAAATAACCTTAATTAAATAAATCTAATGTCTTAAAAGCTTCTAATGTAGAAAAGTCTAACGAATTCACCAAAGACTATCTTGCTGCATTTATCACTCTATAGTTCTCAATCTCTTATGCAAATACATCTGCTAAACCCATTTCTATTTCTGTTGGCAATAACATTCCAACTTCTATTGGATATGTTTATCTAGCTTTTACTATTTCTTTTAAAGTAGAATTTCTTTTAGTAATTATATATTAAATGAAACTATAATTAGATTATTATATTACTCTCCTAATTTTATTCTTCCATCTCTATCCCAATCTATTTTCTTAAATAAGTAAGCTGCTTCAAACTAAGAATGTGAAACCTTATTATCCTACAAAAATTCAAGGATATCAGAATGACCTAACAATCCAATTCTTCTTTAATCTATTCTTAGAAATGCTGTTTATATTAACATACTTATATACCAACTTCAGGATTGAACATTTGTATTTAAGCCAATCTTTGTTTCTTTTTTTCACTTAATAATTCATTTTGTGCTATTGCTTATATTACTAAAGCTAACTTAGCTTAAGTTGTTGGAGTTAAACTTGATTAAGATAACATAATAAATTTTAATTTCTTTTTATTATTTATTGTTAAATTTTATCGCATATTAATTCAATCAATTATCATACTTTATTATCATATAATTCTATATCTAATTTATGAATGCCAAATTATTAATTTATTGTCTCTTAAACAACAACTAACTCATATACATTTATATTTTGCTTATTTTAAGTTAAATTATTTTAAATATATGTATTACCCAACTAAAGAAGAATTTATTAAAGATTTTGATTTTTCAAACCCTGTTCGTTTAGGATAAGGTGCATTTGGGAAAGTTTATAAATTATTATCCAAAAGTGATAATTCACCTTTAGAATAAGGAAAATACTATGCAGCAAAACAAATTGAAGTTATTAATGAATAGATGTTTAACAAAATTTAAAATGAGTTTAAAATAAATCAGCTCATTAACATGCATCCAAATGTTATTAATGTTGTAAAAGTCTATGCTTGGCAAGAACTAATGCCAAAAAAATTTAGTCTTCTTTTAGTCATGGAATTAGCAGATCGTAGTTTATAAAAAGAAATTCATACCAGAAAATAAGAACGATCATATTTTTCAGCATTTCAATTATTAGAGTTATTTAAGAAATGTATATTTACATTTTCTACTCTTGTGGAGTAAAAATAAATTTTTCACAGGTTACATAGTTAATTATTGAATTTTTAGAGATATAAAACCAGAAAATATTTTATTGCTTGAAACTGATAATTTGATTCCAAAAATCACTGACTTTGGAGTATCAAAGAGTTTACATGAATTGAATATTTAGGAAAGCTTAAAAAATACTATAGTAGGAACACCAGTTTACTTTTCTCCAATTTTATGGAATTCATTTGTTACAAGATCTGAATAACCGAGTTAAGTTGAAAAAATAAAACATGACTTAGAAAAATCTGATATTTTTTCTCTTGGCTTAACCTTTCTATAATGTACATTATTATTAACTACTGAGATTGTTGGACTTAATATGGTATTACATAAATTATGATTTAAGGTTGAACAAAAAAATAAAAAAAATATGTTATTAGATAAGATAGAAAATGTCAGAATAAGAAATCTTATAACAGACATGATATAATATGAGGAATGTGATAGAAAAACTTATAAACAATTAATTTAATTATATTTTAATTCTAATTAAAAGGGAATATTTGAAGAAACTCCGTATTTTTTAATTTTATATTAGTTCTCCTTAGAAAATTAAATAAATTAATTAAATTGTCTGTATTAAACATTCAAATTGTAAAGCCTTGTATTATTGCTTTAAATTAGCTATTGCTGGGTATCAATATTTATTAAAATTAGTTACTATTGTGAAGGATGTTATTAAAATGACGATATTCAACTTTTCTGTATACCTTTACCTGAAAAAAATCAAAAATTAAATTAATCCCAAAAAGAAACATTAGAAGAATATTTTGAATCAACTATTCAAATTATTTTTATTAAAGCTATTAAAGATTAAATCAATTTTGCAAAGTAAACTAATCAATCCCATACAGAATTAGAAAAAAACATATAATAGATTTCTAAATTTTTGATTTTCAACTAAAATTAAACTCAAAATTAAGTTTCAAAATTAATAAAAACAAAACTAGAATAAATTAGAATTCCTTATAAAGTATATTTAAATAATGAATAATATAATGAAGCCCTTAGATATTTGGAATTAAATAAAGAGAAATTATATGAATTAACTAGTGATTTGATTTTAAGATTAGATAAATTAACTTCAAATGAGGAAGTGCAAAGATAAAAGAAGAAGATTTTTGATTCATCCACTTAGTAGATTCTACCTAACAGTTTGTAAAGCAAAAAAGAATTCTGATATATAATAAATTTACAATAATTCTCAATTAATAATTAATGTAAATAATAAAAATTCAGTACATTTAAGGATTTATCATTTATTCTTTCAAAAAATATCAAGTAATATAAGTCTGTATCATAATTTAAATAGATAATTTGAAGATATTTGAAAGTAATTCTTTATGTATAAACATTGGTATATTAATTTTTTAATTCAAGATTTAAAAATATCAGATGAAATCTGATGTAACAGGTATGTTAATCTTCTTATTTTAAGTGCCAGCAATACCTATATGTAAAACATAGGAGATATCTTAAAATAATAATATAAGATCAGGTCATTGGACGACTGAAGAACACTAACTCTACCTTGATTTTCTTTATCAGTCTTAAGATTTGATCGAATCATCTCAAAATAACAAAGGATAAAGATTATTCAAAAAAATGAGTTAAATAATTGTTACTAGAAGTCCAAGTTAATGCAGGTATGATTTTTAAAAACCTATATCAACAACAGATCACACCACCAAAAATTCAATCCATTTAATGCTTAAACGATTACAAGAAAAAAAATCAATAAATTATCTAAGCCAAACAAAGAATTGCCACCTTAAATAAGAAGCAAACAATATTTCAGAAAATTTTTTGCCTCTATTAAAGATCATAGTTCCGAATCTATGTCAGAAGAGGAGCTTAATCATAATATTTAATGAACAAATAGAATAAATTGAATAAAATATGCATAACATCCTATCAATATTTATTTTGTTTCTGTTCATTCATTAATTCTAACCATACAAAATTCATAAAATTTTCTCTAAATTAAATTCTTTTAGAATAAACTTAGAATTTTTAGAGAATCAAAAAAATTATATTACTTCACTTTAAAAATATCAACTAGTCGATCTTAATCAAGATAAACTTACTACAAAGAAGCTTCTAAATTTTTTAATTTAATTATTTAAAAAAAACCATTATTCAATCTTGAAAGCAAACATACTTAATCAATCAAATGATCCAAAGCATAAATAAAAATAATTTTATATTTAATTAATTTTATCAAGATTATACATTTCTCTCTTACATAATTTATGTTTATTATTCATAATCATTTAATTTATGGATTTTTATTTATTTAGGTTTACGACTAAAAGATACGAAATCGTATTAAATTGTTGTGGATAAGAAAATTATATTAAATTTATCATAAATAGTGAATGATAAAAAATAATAATAATATGTTCAGAATCATTTTTTATAATTGGAAATATAGAATAATTAATCTCTAATAAAAAGAGCAATTATGTTTTGATAATCTTAAAGATTGATTTAATAAGACTAAAAAAATTGATCATAATTAAAATTTTATCATCTTATTAAATTGGATTTTATTTATTAAAAAGTGAATGAAAAGATAATATGTCATAAATTTATATAATTTTGAATAAATAAGTGTTTTCTGAATAAATTTATAAAATTATTCTGGATTACATGATTCTATTAAATTTAATATAAAAGACTTTTTATTATTGTGTAATATTATTATAGTATATGTGTTGTAAAAGTTGATTAAATAATTTGAATAGAAATAATTTTTAAAATTTTATATATTTTAGATAGATGTTATTATTAAATCAATCAATATGATGCATTTCTTGCACAGCCAATTAAAATGCTTTAACAGATACTTTATCGTCAAATGTATTTTACTAAAAATAAAAATTAATTGATTACAATTTCTTTTGCTCTTTTGAAAACACCTTCAAATTTTCCAATTCCATATTTAATTCCAATAGATTCAAATATTTATTTAATATCTTTTTTATTTCTTAACATTAAGAAATCTTATTCAGTTAATCCCATATGTGAGAATTTTTCTGGAAACAATAATGCAACAGCAGGAACTTCATCACCATAATTTTAAGGATCTGCAACAGATTTCATTCCTGTTTTAAGAATATCATTTCTAATAGTAGGAACACCAAATGTTCTAGTTTCATCTCCTGGTTTAGGTTAATTTCTAAAACCAAACTTTGTTGCTTTACCCAAATCTATATCTGGTTAAACTTCTTTTTATGTAGGTTAACCATTAATGCATTATCCAGCAGTCCATTATTCATCTTTTTTCATTTCTCCAAAAATAGCTGGCATTCTTGAATTAATTTAGGCTTGATTTTTAGGTTTACCTAAAGGATCTTCATTATAATTTTTCCAATCTTCTTAATTTTTAGATATAATAGTTGTTTTAGGATATTAATTTTATGTTAATTCATGTTGCAATATTTTTTTCATTTATTATTATTCTCTTTCCTCTTTCTTACCAAATCTGAATTCATTTGGATCAACATTCCATTTATATTCTCTATTTTTTTATTCTCCTGCTTCAAAATTACCATGACTTTTCAAATACATTAATCTAACACCATCATCATCTCTTTTAGCATCAGGAGGAAATACAACTTCTTTAGCTGTAAATTCAGATGGAGGTATTTTCTAACCAAAAGCAAATCCATCTGATTTAGATTCTTCTGGCCAATTATAATTTCTTGTTGGCATTGTACCTAATGGCTCTTTAATATGTGAAGCATATTTTTATTCATTTATTTCATTGATTAATTCTTTAATTCCTTCAGGCTATTATTTAAATAAATCTCCTGCTTTATCAGATGGATCAGTCTTTTTTCCGTAAAGCCAATTACCTTGAGGTTTTGGAGCATCTACAAGTCCTGGGTGTAACTAAATTTTATTATTTAAGTTACAATTGAACAACCATGTTAATGTTTATATGATTTACGATATTTCTTTATATGAGGAGGTGTTTCAGGAACCTACGTAACTGACTAAATTTACTTAGCTTTAAACTGGTTATATACAGTCACCAGCACTTTCTTCCTTTAATACAGTTCTTCCAGCCTAATTTAAATAAAACAATTTACTGATTTAAGTGTGCCAAAGTAATCTCTGGATTTCCCTGACATTTTAATTTAGAATTATTATATATATTATAATTGATAAACTATAAATAAAACTAAAAAACATATAAATTTAATTTATCAAATAAGTATATTATTCTTATTTCAATAAAATGACTCATAATCTTACAAAGGATCCATATAATCAATTTGTTATTCTTATAAGATATGATAAATGTGATAATATATGTATTGTTATTGATCATAATCTAGAATAGTTTCAAGATTCTAATGCCAATTTGAAATACCTATATAAAGGTATAAATATTAATCAAATAGAATATTGATTCAAACTAGATATAATATTATAGCAATTTTATATACTCTACTCATCCACTTCAAAAGGCAAACTTACTTGATAGAAAATCCAATAACTAATATTAGCGATAATCCACATACTATTGTAATTACAGAGGTTAAGTTATCATTTTTATGGAACAATATTTGTTTATTAATAATTTTTAACATAATTATCATCTTTATTAAATGCCAATTTGAATCAGTAATTTATGTTTTATTTATAAATTAGTCTGTTTAATTTAAAAATTCTTTTTTTAAGATTTTCAAAAAGTTAAAAATCACCAGACAATTAATTCTATTAATCTCAGTTCAGAATTGAAGTTTCTGTAGTAATTTCTCTTGATCATTTCCTATATTTATTAACCCTAGTTTAAGTCTGCCTATTTATAAAAATTGTCTTTATTTCAATAAATTCAATATCTCCTTCAGTTGAAATTATAGAATTAAATAACCCTAATATTGGTCTCTCAAATTAAATAACATTGATTATTAATTTTCTTATAAGAAAGTTGATTCGTTTGGATTGTTTGCCAAAACATTGAATACTATGTTTCATAAAGATTTTTAAGGAAGAAATTATCTATTAATCCCATTTCTTTTCTAAACCTAAAAGATTTCAAAATCTTCAGAAACATTTTTATATTTCTAATCATCTATTTTAAAGTTCATATATTATCTTATGCTAATGAATAAATTATTAATAATCTTGACAGAATTATATTTTTAATTATAATTTATGATGAAAACGATAAACGATTATCTAATAAGAACAACCATTCAAAAGTTTAGTAATTTATATATTTACATTCAATTATTAGTTAAATCATTAAATTTATTAATTCAACTCATAATTTATTATTACTAGTGTCTCTAATTATTATTAATATCTATTAAACTCATCAATTAACATCATGGTATTATTTTGGTTTACCACAATTTAATCACTATTTAATGTTAATTTAGAAGCTGTCTGTAGTAATAATATTTAATTGATTTTTTCCTATAAACCAACTATTGGTTCAAAATCCACAAATTTTTTGTATTTCATTACTTTATTCAAATTTTATGAAGCTTCTTATAATTATGTTTCGGATTGCATAATCAATTATATTTTACTTTAAGCCGGCAAAGCTGAATAACAATAATTTAGATCATAATTATAAATTAATTAAGACATTTTCTAAACTACAGATGATTGATAATAAAAATACTTTTAGAACTCAGATTATATTATCGAGATATATCTCTCATCTATTATATTTGGTTATAAACAGTTTCTGTGATGACAAGATTTCCATCTCCAATTAATTGTTCTAATGCTGTTATTCTTTGATCTAATTATTTCATAAATAAATATTATTTATAAATAAACTCACTTAAATGAATGCAGATATCAATATATTATTTAGGAAAGTTAATGAATTTCTAAAATTCTTTTAAAAATATACTTTAGAATCATTCTAATTTGACTTATCGGTATTTTGATATAATTATAAAATGAATTTTTAATAGTTTATTTAATTTTAAATTACTTTACAAATTTTTGATTTATTGATAGATTATATATTTTATTAGATGGATGACTTGAAATATTTTTGACTGTAATAAAACATGCCAACAAATTGAATAATTACGATTAATATTATTTAGTGATTAATTCTTTAACAAAATGTACAGGATCAATTTATTTTTCTTCTTTTAAAACTGTTTAAACATAAATGATTCATAAGTTAAAAGTATGTATTGTTTGATAAAAAAAGTAATTCAGATTGCAAAATTTTATTAAATTTATATTCAGTATGTATAATTGTGTAATTTATTACTATATAAAGAATATTATGATAATGATAAACATTTCAGACTTGTATTCAAACAATTAAAATTAAATAAATTCATAAGAAATTTAAATGCTTGATTAATTATGTTTATGCAATAAAAGTAATAAAAGGATTCATATCATTAAGTATTTCATTTGTTTATTTACTATAAAATCAAATGTGCTAATTGTTATTAAAACATTTTAAAAATAACATTAACAGTGTAAAGACTGTATATTTAACTTAATCTTAATGAATAAACAAATGGCTTATAAAAAAGCAAAACTAATTTTACATACGCATTATACATGTTCTTCCAAATAATGCACAAGAAAAATATCATAAAGGGCGGCTTCTTATTAATTTTTGAATTATCGAATCCTATTTTTGTAAGACCGCTGTATTGATAATACATTTATTGAATAATTAGTAAACACAACAAATATACAGTTGATGTATATAAAGCAGGAGATCTTTTTTTAGTATATTTAAAGTAAATAATTTGAATAATTAGAATTGTATGTTGAAAGGTATTCTATTAAACTTAAATAATATTTGATACTCTAAAATTTATAACAACATAAATAATCCATTTTTATCATTTATCACATCATTTATACATCAGGTGCATAGACTAGATTTTTTTTCATTAAGCTAAAATCTAAAAGAAGTCAAATTTTTAATAATACACAAATTAATTATCAACCAGATAAATAAAAAATAGAATCAAATTATAACAACCTCGGTTTAAATTATCATGGATTTTATTTTAATTTCATTATAAAATTCAGGTAAGGTACCTTATAGTACATCAAATTTTTCATTGATTTCATTTATGTAAATATTTTTACACTAGAACATAGATTAATCTGAAAATTGATTCATACTTATAATTTATTAAATCTGATGAATTCTAAAAATAAAATTTATTAATCCATGTTCTAATAAATTTTATTTTATCATGATGAGCAAATCTCTTCACAATAATCCTATATAGTGTCATTATTTATTTTGAATCAAATAAGGCTTCAATTATACTCTGAAAAAGAGATTTTGTAGGAATTTTTATTTTTTACAATCACAATTCTTTTCTATTATCTATAATAAGCAGTAGATGATCTTATATGATTATCAGGCTCTGTTGTTTTATTTTCAATAAAAATTTAAGACATTAAGACAGGTTCTTTGTGATTCCTTATTAACAAATAAATGAATGAGAAAAAATTAAATAAAGATACTTCTACAAGATGCATACAAACTTTTGGGATGTAAGGAACAAAGCATTAGTTTTAAGATGTCTTAAAAGCAAGAAGAAAAAAAAATTTAAGGTTGTCAGTTAGAAATTAAAGATTTTGTTTCATTAATTAAAATGTGCAAAATAAAATAAGAAATTTTATATCAAAACAGCAGCACAGCAAAACTTTATAAGTGAGTCAAATATTTGATGAAATAATTATAATTTTTATATTTTTTTAATAACCCATCTACCAAATCAAAAATTCAAAATGTAGTCATTAGAAAATAAACAGGAAACCTGTTTTGTTGATACACTCTCTAATATAATGAAACTTATAAATGATGATTCAGCATTTTAGAAGAAAGATAACATTAAATAATTTGAAGATAAACTAGAATCTATTTAAGATAAACAATAATTAAACAGCCTAGAATCTTTGCTTGAAATACTTATTAGAACTTAGTCTAATATAGAAAAAAAAAATTATTTACTAAATATTAATTTTAAGTTATAAACAAAAATTTTAGAGTAAAATTAAAATTTAGATGAATTTACTCAAGAATTAATTGAAAAAAATCAACAATGGATTGGGATATCATTTTTAAATAATGATGGAAGTTTTGGTATTTATAATAATAAAATTAGTACTTTCTGATTAAAAAACAAGAGAATTGTTGGAAATAACAAAAACAGTCAATGATTAAAAATATTTATTATAATATTGTTCTTAAGCTGGATATAAGACTTTATGTAAATAATTTAAACATTGGCCAACCTTATTGGAGGAGGATGAATTATCTAAAGAATTTTAAATGACAATATATTCTGAAAGAATGAGAAGAAAGGCATTAAAGCATTTATCTGCTTAAAGAATTGAAAAATTAAAGGAATGCTAATATCAAAATAATGATTATGATCAAAATTAAAGTTAAAAGAAAAATAAGAAAAGAATAAAATAAGAAATCAAAATAAATTAGCATGATGCTATAAAAATAAAGTATTTAAAAACAGTATAAATAAAATTAACAAAAATGACAATAAATGTAACTTAAGAATTTTAATAATCTGTTTAAGAAAGTAAAGTCTTTTAAGGTAGTTCAAATTTATCTTATATGGCAGAAAATTCATAATAATACTTTAAAGTAGTGAAATGTGAAATTCAAGCTTGTCATGAAATAGAAGATATTACATCTGAAGAGATCTTTAAAGATTAAAGACTTTTAGAATATGAAAGTAATATCTATAATTAAATTTTAGGAAAATGGTAAGATAAATGTAAGAAAATTAAAGATGAAATAAGATAAATGTAATATGGCTTAGAGAACTCTAATTAAGATTAATTTTAACCATTTTATAGTGATCATGAATTCGAACTCAGTAATAATATAAAGATTTGATTTACTCTTAGTATAAATTTTGAGAAGTTTATTATTTTATTAATAATAATTTTGAAAAATAAATAAAATTCTTTCAGATGTTTTTACATAGATTAAAAAGAAAATTGATTGAAGTAGGAGAATAGAATTTGTAGAGAAATTAGAAGCAGAATATAAAGAAAAATAACAAAGTAATAAAAAAATGAAGGATAGAAAAATAAAAAGTCTTGATTAATAATTCACAAGAGTGGCTTTTAAATTAGCTTATATGGGAATAAATTATCATGGTTTAGAAACTTAAATAAATTAGCATGAAACAATTGAAAATCGTCTATTTAAATGTTTATAGAGAGTGAATGATTGATAATCGAGATGATTTAATTTTACAAGAGCAAGAAGAACTGATAAAGGTGTTAGTGCAATAGGAAATGTAACTGCTTTGAATGTAAGAAAAATAGGTAAATCTGATAAACTTTTTGGATAAATTTTAAACAGAGTTTTACCAGAAGATATATAAATTTTAGATGAATGTATTGTTGATGAAAAATTTAATGCTCGTTATGATTGCATTAAAAGAGTATATAAATATTACTTTTATAAGATGGATTATAACATTGAATTAATATCATAAGCAATGTTATAATATTTAGGTGAACATGATTTTAGAAATTTTTGTCAATTCGATGTTATTGCAAATTAAAATTTTGTAAGGACAATTATGAATATTTAAATTGAAGAAGTCTTTCCAGAAATGCTCCTCAATGTAGCAAATTATTTTAAGATGATGATAGATTACTATTGTACTATGTTACTATAGAAGGAAATGCTTTTTTATGGCATCAAATTAGATATATGATGGCAGTTCTTTTTTTGATAGGCAAAGGTATTGAAAAATCTAATGTGATAAATGAATTATTAACTAAATTAGAGGGTAAACCAAATTATTAAATGGCATCTCATTATCCTTTGGTTATATTTGATTGTTAATTTAAATAAGAATTATGGAATCTTAATTTAGAATGTCATACTCAATTTATTCAAGGTGTATATGAAAATTTAAGAGAAACACTTTCCAAAAAATATATAGAATATTTGCATTTTTATTCTATGGGAGCTGCTTTATTAAAAGTTCCTGTCCCAGATAATAAAAACAAAATTGATGAAAAAAAATCACTTATATTTTAAAAATCAGGAGATACTGTTGAAGGAACTATATAAAATTTAAAAGGAAAAAGAATAGAAAAATATGATATTAAAATTCAAAAAGTTAAAGAATATTAAGAAAGATGTTTACAAAAAAATTAATTTGAAAATTAATGATGGGTTATCATTTAAATTATTTCATGGTATTAATAAATAATATTATTCACTTCTTTATCTCCATGAAGTATATATGTCTACATATAAAGATTTCTTAAATATGCTCAGAATAAATTAACAATAAGTATATTTCTTTAAAGCAGGATATTTTCTCATATGTACAATAGAACTATTATTAGCTAACACATACGCTTAAACTACTAACATTGAAATAGCAGACAAGAAAAGCAAAGCAGCAAAAATGTACACAAAAATCAATCTAAACCAATTTACTACTAAAAATCTAAATTAAAAAGTTGCCAAGTAATAAAATTGGTTTCCTAAATAAAGTAATGCACTCAATCCAAGAATACTTGTATAACAAACAAAACTTATAAAATATTTATAGTTAAATTTTCCTACACAATTCCCTATAAAAAAGCAATGATGATCCATTTCTAATACACAATGTTAACAAATTTTACAGTGATGTGTTGTTATTTCTATATATATTCATAAAATAAACCTCTATGAATTTTACATCTCTTACATATATTTTATTCTTCAATCATGTTTATATTAGCTTAGCTTTTCACACTAATTGATAAGTAAAAAGATTTTAAAAAAAAATAGTACAAAATAGTAAAGTATACTGAAAACACAATTCTATTCATCTCAAAGTATATAATATAAGCTGATTCATAAATGACACTTAATTGAAATGCATAATAAGAAAATCTTAAAAGAACAGATACAATCTATCTTGCTTATTTGCTTTCTTTATCATCCTCTTGTTCATCAAAAATTTAAGTAACAAAAAACATATATAAAAATTATTTTAACTTAAAAAAAAATCGAAATATTTGATTTATAAATTCATGCATTTTCTTCTCTTTTAAGATATTTTACTATTTTTAAATAATTAAATTCAATGTTGGTATTAGGTTGATAATTATTGTGGATAGAAAATATTTAAGTTTTATATGATATTTCAATTAAACCTTATTATAAGAAATTATTATCTCTGATAAATGAATAAATTTTAAAGAAATGATTTTTATAATCTAGTCTAAAAATTTTATATAATTAATTGTTTTTATAGACCTTATGATAATGTCTATTGTTTTTTATAATTTGAATATTGAATTTAATTGAAAACATCAAAGCAAATGAAGTAATCTTTTGAAAAAAGAATAGATAGAATATTTTTAATTAATAAATTAAGGTTATAGTTGAATTTTTATAATCATTTTTTATTAAAATTCTATAGATTATAATGATTTAATTGATAATGAGTTATGATTAAAGAATAATGAATTATAATATTGTAATAATATATATTGTTATAATATATACAGAAATTTAAAAAGTATAATCATTGTT